GCGGAAACTAAAATGGGAGTGTCTCAAATTATATTACATCGACTAATCAGTAACCGAAAAATCTCAATTTGTAGTAAACCAACTAATAGTAAGAAAATGTCAACCTTAATGCACCTATTTTATATTTCTATAAATGTTACAACGTTAATTAATCCATTTCTTTCTCTGAAATAAAATTATTTTCAGTGGTGTTGACAAGATACAAAATAAAAATAATGCGAATTTAAATAGCTTAACAGCACCATCTTACATGGTGCTTACATTGATTTTGTTTGGTTGCATAGGTGATTCATTATAAGTACAATAAAATACTGCAAAAACAGTATTTGATGATATACGAATGTTGCATTCGCCTAAAATAGTAAATATTTCTCACAAATCGTTATATCTGAAAGTCAAAAGTCCTTTATTTTTGCTGTTACGTATCATTTGTATTCGACACGTATAAAATAACTCTGTTGATATATCCTCAAATTTTGAATGGTATGAAATATATTCCTCATCTTAACGTATATTTGAGCAGACGCATTGTCAATTCAAGACGATTTAGTCAACGCGACAATAGTCCTGAACTCGTAAAACTCTAAAGATTTATAGCCTGTCGATAAATTTTACGTAAAATTGTTCCAAATAAAAGTTTCGGTAATTGAATTCACAACTTTTGTTTGTAGTTTGTTAGTGAAATGCCGAAGGCATCCATTTATATTACGACAAACTTCGGTTTTAACGGAGGTTTTCTTATGAAAAATTTATAGAAGTTTCTATTTCTTTCGATTTCAAACTGTCAAATTTAAAACGCGTTTTTATTATCGACAGTTTCTTTAAATTTACGTGCGAAGTGTAAATACGATCGTTACACCTTATCTCATATTCTGTCATAAATTAAATTGTGCTAACGTGACCGTTTTTACGATGATTGTTATCCGAAAAGTACATTTGCGGTATATTAAAATGGTTTAATTTCTACAGACAATTGCCTTATTACGCCGCAAGAATCATTTTTTTCACGGGAGTGCGTGATTAGTTGACTGTTGAAATATTAATCAGTCACAGTCCTCTAGACAGCCTCGTATATCACTTTGCGGGTGTGTTTCTTCCTTCAACTAACGCTTCACAAATAAATTGAATTAAATATTAAGGAAGGAACGTTTTCAACAAACAACTTTATTGATGGAAGTGTGAAATGTTGATACAATGAAACTTGAAACCCTAATTGCGAATGTGGATGCTCCATTATAACGTATTAGATAATATACGAGTATGAATATAAACCTTTTTGTAAAATATTCATTACTTAGCTTGCTATGTGCTCCTATATTCTGCTAGCAGCTTTGTAGTCACCTATAAATTAATTATTAATAAAACATTTATTAAAAAGGCATTGGCTTCTTTATTTTTAAATTATGATTACATATTTACATAATAAATCAGTAGTATACTTATTAAAAGTTTGATTGAAGATTATGTTGAATTAATAAGTTGTTTAAAAACCTTTTTCTGGCGTCTATTGTAACCTAAAACGTTTGTTAATGTATGATATCTTTTATACGTGTACGCAATAGGTTAGTCAACAAAATTACAAATTATGATTACTATCAATATTTAAAAGTTTTTGAAACAGTTTATCTTATAATTAAAAAAGATACACCATTTATGATATGTTAAAATTTTAAAATTCATTTTGTTTAGTGGCTTTTTGTTTCTACACAGCAAACAAATCCTCTTTATCATGTAATAATTTAATCCGAAACACTTATTGAAATATAAATTAATATTTTATTCTCTAATGATAATATAACTTTCAGTTTTGTATGGAAATATTTGTTGGTAAGTATATAAAGCGTTTTTGCTAATATGTTAGCTTCTGTTATTGATAAAATAAACTGATGATTATCCAGTAAAACACAAACATAAATTTATGATTTGTGTTTGTGTAACATTATTTCACTGTGGCATAATATTAATGTTAATTAAAATTGATTTATGTTAGGTAGAAACAAAACCATTTTCGAGTGTGGCAACTGGAACTGGATTAAAATATAAAAGAATTATTGCAGTATTAAAGGAAATTTCAATATGTACTAAAGAAATATTGCTTTTCATGGCATCCGCGTTTACACTGTATAAAATATTGAGGAAATAAATTACTGAACGGAATCGGGATAACTTAAACTGCCAATAAATAATAGCTTTTAAAAAATTACATTGCTGAAATTCAGCGGTTGAATTATTCATGTGGACTGTGAAGGGTGGGACAAACGGTAACAGTAACGTGTTGAATGCAACCTATCGTTCACCTTATCTCGATTAACCCGCATAAATCTATAAAATGGTATTTTGTGCAAGTGCCAATGTGTAGAACAAAAATGAACATGGTAGTTGACTTGTAATAACAAATTAGAAGGTCGGTATGAGACGTGGATAGATTTCATCTACTTGAGAGCTGCAATAGTATTTTACTTAAAATAAAAAGTTGTCTATGTTTAAAGTACTAGTTTAAATGTGAAATAAAATTTCCTCAGTTATACTTTACGCTTTATCTCGCCAGCTGCTGTTATAAAACAAGTGTAAAATAAATATATGCGGTTAGAAAATCTAAGGCAATTTGGTGTTTCCACGGGCATAAAAAGCCGCCGATCCGCCACTGTTTACATTACCAGTTAAGTAGCGAAATTGGTCCTGCAAAAGCTGGAAAGACGACATAAGACACAACTCCATCGGAAGCACATTAACATAAGCACCAAAGCACCTAGCAACTTCCCAAATCGGCCGTAACAGTTTTGTGTTTGAACAATAGCGTCTTATAACTTTAATTCCTACCCATTTTAATGTTAATTAAAATTTCCCGTCTCTGTCTACTTGTATTTTTTGCATGTCTGTCTTCGTTACATCCTGTGCTTTAAGACCGCTAGATTTAAAATGAGAATTTGTCGGACAGAATGTGATGCTGCTTGTTTAATACCAACGGAAACGCCTTTCAACAATGCCTTCACGGATAGTTATTACTTGGATCAAAGCATTTCCAATCAACTTGTTTAACAAAAAATATCGAAGTACGGGATTTACGCCTCCCTTCTGTTAATTATAAATATATTAAGTTTTCTTGGAAAAGTTACTTTACGCCACAACGTCAGCGATGAATAGCGAGAACTAAGCTTTTGTTTGCACTGACAACATCGCAAAAATTATTAGCAATAACATCAATGTTTTATCTTTAAAATGTTTACTTAAAAGTTGCATTTATAATCTGATTAAAACTCGCAAACCATGAAAGGTCATTAATTTTACTAGAATTAAGCTAAATTAATTACTTAATACTATCTTTTTTGTACAAAAAATGCGTTTTTTTAACGAAAAAATTACGATGGTAAAATTTGGAAACTACATACGAGTACCTTTTTTACAGCTATATTTTACCCTAAATATGATGGCGTAGATATATAAAACGATTTTTAGTAAAACCTTTTTAAATTGTAATTGTGGAATTAACGACTTTAAAACCTTACCTTTATCTTTTAAGCATTAGATTAAATAACAAAGTGAATCGCTTCTACCTTCTATGTGACACATTTTGTAATCTTCAACATTAACAGGTTCCACATATTTAGCCTTTCACCTTTGTCTATGACTGTTTATGTCAAAACAAATCGTTGTAATTCATTATTTGGTGAATTGGTGATTTATTTTACTAAGAGAAAATTGGCTTTTATTATATCATATTTTATGAATTTGTTTATACCGACTTGTTTACATTCAAATTTTGTCTCTACATCAATTTGTCACATACCTACATAATATTTACAGCAAATGTGGTGTCTCAGAAGTATTTACCTAAAAAAAAAAACAATAATAATATTTTGGTAAAAAACTATCTAAGAATTTTATCACAAAGTGATTTTTTTAGCACAATTCCATTTTTAATGATGTTAAGAAAAATTGCATTATTATAAGTATACAGGATGTTCCATTTTTATTGTTACAAATTTAACCAGGTGATAGAATATTCAATTTTAAGATAAAAGTTTCCTATAAACATATATCGAAAAATTTTATATAAGGGAGCCACATCCCTTGAAAGGGGTGCATCTTTTAATAGATTTTTTCCAATATTTCAGAAACCATCGTGGATAAAATTACAAAATTTGGTACAACTTTTATACACCCAAATGAATTCAAAGATAAAATGTCGAAATTTTTACTCAGGAGCGTCCTAAACTGGGGGATTTAGGGTAAAAAGTACTCTTTTGGCGGTTGGTTTTTGCCACTTTCAGCCACAAAATTCTAAATTTCATAGTTTTTACAAAAAAGAAGTCTCTTGCGTTATTTAGATAAAACTTACCGTTTTTGAGTAAAATCAGTTTACAATTTGTCAGCTGTACCAACTCTTGTAATTTTATCTATTCTGCAATAGTGGGAAAACCCCTTTAAAAACGCATCTCTTTCAGGGGGTGTAACTCGCTTTCGTAATATTTTTTGATGCATGTTCATAGGAAACTTTTGTCTTAAAATTGAATATTCTATCACTAGTTTAAATTTGTAACAATAAAAACGGAACACCCTGTATGTTTATAAATTGCAAAAAAGTGTGTGTGCTTTTAGAGGATCCCTTGTATTCCTTTAAAACCAAATACAATTTTTGTGTTTATCTAAATTCTGTGTGGCCAGACGCACTAAATTACAGTTCCTTCTTTGTGATTCGTACGTCTTTAAAATTACTTTAGGGATAAAATTTACCAATTTTGTTTGTATCAAGAGTAATAAATAATTTAAAAGGGATGCTTTGGATAAAAGCAATCTCTTGCCAATATGTAATAACCGTATTTATTCTTTTCCCTTTTACGTGATTGCAAGTTATTGGTTTTGGAATTTATTCCCAAATAGTACGTGTTCGGAACGTGACCGATTTACTAACCGGCCATTAGATTTAATTTTTAATGTTATATTGTCTTTTATTGTTTATTTTACATTTCTGCTGTAAACTAGTGTAAAATTAATTTTAGCCAATGGGCATGTATCCACACAAGTACGAATGGGCATCTGGAAGTCAGCAGAATGGCGACTGTTCCATATGGGTGCGAGCTGCCCAGTTAGAGTTTGACGATGGGAATTGGGAATGTCAGGTGACAGCCAGCGATTTTCACACACAAGACGCATTGACTAGTCAACCAGTTCATCTAGTTGTTAGAGGTAAGTTCTCTTCGTTTAATTACGTCTACTAGTTTGCGTAAACATCCTTTTTAACTAATTTAAAGCAGAGTTTTTCGTCCGAAAGCAAGGTCTTTGTAAAGTTGATATAAAAGCTTTTAATGAGCGTTTCCTCTGCGGCAAAATAAAAAAGTAACACTCTAAGGGGGAAGAAAGAAAGCTTTGCAAATGCGAGGAAGAAGGCCAATAAAGAACTGGCGATTCATTTTTTAGTAAATGAGATGGACGAAATCTAAGTGTTTCTAAATGATGAAGACGAATTTCGTCTCCATAAAACCGTATATGAAACATATTTGAGACTAGTAAAAAGCAAACTTCTCGACTAGAAAACTTTTCCGAATCCACTGACGACAATTCGAGTGGAAATTCCTAAATAACAAAGAACAGTGAATATGTGACCGGTACTTTGCTTGAACATCTATTGAATTTATTGTTTTGTATACACGATTTAAGCCATTCTGAGGTCTGGCGTCTCTGCTTCAAAGTTGAAAGTTTCCAGAAAACCCAATTCCGGGCTTTCACCGTCGGCATTTAATGTTTTGAAGGGAAAACTTAACTTACAGTTCCGCACTTCTAAAATCTATCATATAACGTTAAGTTATTTGGAAACACAATTATATTTGGAATGTTGATTCGGAAAGCACGTCTTCGTCAATTATCGATCTTTATTAGGTTAGCATTAGATTTGAAACGTCGAATTCATGTCTCCGGGTGCATTAACACTTCCGTAACCTTAATAAAATAGGGCTTTTGAAAGCATCGAAATAAAAGTTGGAAACGAGTATGCAAATACACGCCCCATTTACATAATGTCACGCTTCACTGACGCAAGAAGTTAGAAAAATTGGCGATGAGGCTGGGGCATATGTTTCCAGGTATGCACATCTCGTTCGACAGAATTGCTGTTATTTTGATGTAATAATTGTGTTTCCTCGAAAAAATTGTCTGCATTCTTGACTCCATAAAGTCTCAAAAACGCAATTTTAAAGTTATTAAAAAGAAAACAAAACAATCGAAAAATGCAATATCCATATCCAGCATCGTGACACAGATAAGAAATAATATGAAAAGATAGAGCGCCGAAATTGTATTGTAAGGCGCTTGGATTAGTACAAACGAAAGAAAAATCGCGAAAAGAAGTCCAAATCTTCTGGGACATTTATCTACTTCCCACACAATGTACTACATAAATTTATTCCCAAAGGGATTCCCAGACAATAAAAAATGAACTAACCAAAATTTGCTGCCTTAAGTACAAGGAAACGTAAACACAATAAAGTACGTGTTATATAATGTGAAATTTACACTCCCACTCCTCCCACACAAAAGTCTTCTCGATGAAAAGAATACTTAAATTGTACTTGCTTTGTTCCTTTATAATGCCGTTTTCATAATAATGTCAAAGTAATAATAAAGTTTGAAACAAAAGAAATTTATTTTGCATTGGTGTTTGTCAAAACGAAAAATGTAATACAATGTAAACAGAACATCATATCGCGTAAACAGCACTTTATTGTTTTTCACGGAAAATATTAGCCAAAGCACAATATTAAATTTTATAAAAAAATAGAACTGACAATTAATCGATAATAAAGAAAGAATGTTTACTCATTTGTAATAAATAGGTTTTTTTTTTATTAAATATGTACTCGTGTATACCTATTACTATAACTGAAATATAGCAAACAAAGTTTGTGTAGAACAAACAAGAAATACAAACAAACAATAAAAGATAAAGATTTTCAAAAGTGTATAAATATGTCGTTTTGAAAAATTATTTAAATTTACTTCACAGTGTGTATTTCTAAACTACTGCTGCAGACATACTCGTAAATGAAAACCCCTTACGGATTAGTTTCATTGATAACAAAAATTCAGTTACGTTTTGTTGATACATGATGCTGAATAAGCTTCTAATTATAACGAGAATGTTTGCTAATAGTTGCAAAATGTAACAACACGGCAAAATAACATGAAAGGGTTAAACAAATTCAAACAGACAATAAATGCAAACTGAAAGGGCGCTTCGGTAGGGAAAACAAGACCGAGTGTGGATTCCGGACCACCGTTTTATGATTTGTTAAACACGCTCTAGTGTAATTACCTGGATATGCCTGCAGTTCCGGCGCACCTCTCTCGATACCACTATACCGATAGAATTCAATTACCTCTAACAATTACCAGTACGAATGTATGTTTTGGCGTTACTTTATTTCAACAGGATTTGCAGTTTGGGAATTACTCGGGAATGAAGCAGCAATTAACTTAAATTGATACTGTCAGTGTTAATAAGAAACCAACATTCGATGCTTCTTGTGCGGTGTTAAACGCTTGTTGTGCAATATTCGAATAGAACGTTTAAATTTCAATAATTTCTTCTTTAATTTAAATTCACATCGCACCAGTTGGTGTGGAAATTACTTTAGAGCGGACAAACCGTGCTAAACAGTTTGCATTTTAAAACCAGGAACTATTGCTGCGAATAAAAGATGAGGGACAATTCGACTAGGAGCAACTAGCGCAATTTTAAACCTCGCAATTTGCTAATATGAAATAAAGCTTTTAATGTACATACAAGTAATATAAGAAAAATGTTTTTGTATTCAGAATTGGCTCAGGGAAGTCTTAACAATATTGTTTTTTTTGTTGTTTTTACCAAAAATATATACAAATAACAAAATTTAACAGTCGAGAAACGCACAGACTCTGATAAAATTGTTGTCGTGTAAGCTGGGTTTTTCGCTAAAAAAGAATTCTTTGCATGTTCGTTAAAACGTAATTTATGATCATTGCGGAACATGGCTAATGCGGAAACTAGAAAAGGTAGATAAATAAAATGTAGAGATTTCAAGTCATTAAAATCACATTTTGCTGTTTCTTCAACGAATTTTCAATTTGAAAAATTATAATGTTATGTGCAATTTTTGCTACTTCAATGGCATTTTTGTATAAATTACAACTTCATTTAAAAGTTTGAACAATGAGATATATACTTTTATATTTATATCTAATTACTATAACTTGGTTTTATCATTTTAATTTAGAATTAAAGATAAAGACATTTTTCGGATATTTGATATTTTTTTAAATATGAACTTTTAAAACTTTTGGTTCTTTGGCTCTTATTATTGCATTTGTTTATTCATCTTAATAAAAATATATTTTCTAAACATTAAAACGAATACTTGGCACACACTAATTGTAAAACGCCAGATTGGTAAAAGTGTAACAAAGTTGCTACAACTCAGATGGTAAAGACATATATTTGTGCTGAAAGCTATGAAGAAATTAATGAACATATTTTACAAGCTATTAGGTCGCATATAACAGCTCCGCTTTCTTATGTAATAAATGTATCCTCGAGTCGTATTTCTGTGGAAATTTTTGTTCATAAAAACAAAAGGTTACTCTCATACATCATACCTTATAGGTCAATTTATAAAACTGAAATAATAAGAATTTTGATTAATGGGATCAAATAAGTTTCATATTTTTATCACTTTATTAAGATAATAAGTTGTATCTACATTTTCAACATCTTTTTACTTATATTTTAATTTTTATAGAAAACTTCTATATAAGTTCTGGTGCAAAATGGTTATAATGAAAAATCTGCATTATGCAGGCTTAGTAGCAAAGTTGTAAAAACGTTGCATAAACTTTAAATTTACTTTATGATAATGTATTACTGCGTATCTCGTTAAATTTTAGAATCATTTATTCAAGACTAGCTTTAGTAACAAAAATTTATGCGATTTGATTTTCAAACGGATCTTTGAGACCACCTTAGTTGTTCGAAATATAACGATGTCGTTAAGGAAAACGAATGCATTTCTAAATGTGTAATAAACATGTCAGTGTTCACGCAAGACACCAATAAATTATCAATAATCGCGATTACAATAAATAACATGTCGGTGTTTTTATGTCTATTTACGTTATCGCTTAGAATCGGACTGCTTTCAGTATTCTGCGAAAATAAATAAAACACTATCTGTATCTGACTGCTTCAAGTGGCGATAAGGCCATATTAGAGAAAATGGCTTTGTTGAAAATTTTATAGCTTGGAAAATATTTCACAATGCCAAATACGGAAACTGCTTTATCTTATAACTTCCTATGGAAATATGTGAAAGAAATTAATTTCTCGTACACTTTGTAGCAGTGTGAATATTTTAGTTTTTAAAATACCTAGTACGATAGAGCGTTCCACAAAGGGGGAAAAATGTGTATAAGCCTATCGCCGCCGCTTCTGCAAACTAGGAATAATTTATTGCATATTAGGGTTAGCGCCGATGATAGTGAAATAAGAAAAGAAGTGATAAATTTTCAAAATATCAACGGAATAGTTAATTTGAACATATCTAAAGTTTAAAATAAAGACTATTAATGTTCGATAAGGTTTCCTTGGTTTAGTTGAAAACCTTGTGAATGAACCCTTCACATTTGTTAAACGATAGCAAGGTCTCTAGTTCAGCAATGAATCAGAACCCCACGAGGGATCGTCGCATCCATCTTCACCCACCGTGTCGTCGTTACAGACTTCTTTAGTTTACAAGCCAGCGGGACCATGAAGCTGCTTGAGTCATTGCCACAATGAGACAAAAACTTTATTCTGATTTGTTTCCAATAAAACAAACATCACTAATCAATCTCTTATTTAATAAATCCGAATAAAACATTCAATGCGATAAAAAATTCAAATTTATTGAAATTTATGACTGACTGAAACTGTTAGAAAAGAAAAGTACAAAAGGTAAGTGAAAAATGTGAAAAGCCGCATATTTTCTAACCAAAATCTGAATATTCTTTGAGCCGCAGTCGCATTTTGTTATGAGCATGCAGGATTATAAATTCGCATTTTTTGTATTTAATTTTGTATGAAAAAAACTGAATGTTGAGTCAGAACTGCGTGAAATTATTCGGATACATTGAGGCTTGTATTCGGGCCTCCAGGTAGAGCGTTTTTACGACAATTTGGT